TTGGTCCATAGCCCTCATCCGACATGCAGGTCTCATTGACGTCGTAGTGGTCTGGCTTCTCAATAAGTTACTTTAACAGAAGTGCGTGACAGAGGAATAAAAATAATAACAATAGATTGTGTATACAATAATAAAAAGGTTAGATGGAACAAACTCGCTAATAATTATTCTCCATAAATTAGTTCGTCATTGGCCCAGGTCAGCGTAATAGCAGTGATCCAATCAGGGTTGTCCTGGGGGCTCCTGAACAGTCCCCACATATAATAGATTCCGAAGGTGGTCTGAAATGTTTTGATATCAGAATTATCGCGTGAATCTCGTGAATGACCGCTGCAAGTGCGTGCGAAATCAGAAGAAAGGGTCGAAGCACGTGACCACGTCTGTATTGCGTGCGCATTTTTGCAGTTTTTCGTATTCAGACGAAAAGCGATTATGCAGTTGACAAAATACGTAGTGTTATAATGGGAACAAAATGAACGTACAAAACACCAAGACGTGATGCTCTATTATTTGGGTGGATGTTCTCCGGACACAGTTACCACTGTGTGCTGATTTCATCTTCTATAGGGCCGGGAACCCGGAATCTCAAACCTGGATTCGAAATTCCTGCCTTGCAAGAAATGTGCATCTAAGTTGGCAATCGTAAATTGGGACCAACTTCATTGAAGAGACATACAGAGATATTTTCCGGTAAACTCAAGAAGCAGAAGCGGTGTTCGTCCCAACCTAACTAGCGCTTGGTCGAACGGACTGAGCAGGTTCGGAAACGGGGCCCCAGCACCTAGCAGCACACGCAGTACAAAACAGAGCGAGTTTCCCAGTTATATGACGTTCATGTAACCGTCTAATAGCCATCTATTATGGTTAATAGGTAGTTATTTACACCATCAGAACAGCCGTATAAGTGTTTTCCGGTTATTAGGCGGTCAAATGATCATTTTTCAGAAAGATAACAACAGGATCCACAGATGAGCCGATATTTCGTAAAATGCGGAACTGCTGTCAATCGGAGATCCTCCAGTGGAGCATGCGAAAACAAGCCGCGCTACTAGACAAGTATACTGTTTAAGCAAATGGGACATCGCCGAATAAGTATGCCTACCGTCTTCTCCTTGGGGGACAAAAAATCGCGGAACCTACGAGCAAACCAATGGTAGTATCTGAAGCATACAGAGAACACTATACAGACATGTATTCTGCCTCAGCGACCATCCAATCTTGTTGAGACGTAACTACGCACGGACGCTAACTGAATAGGTATTCATGGAGGAGGATGCTCGCCAACTTTTGCACAAGACAAACTCCTTCAGCGCGTTTGGGCCAGATGAGTTCCGTCTAAGGATCTTGAACGAAACTTCGCTCACACTGACAAAGCAGCTCTGTCTTGTGTTTCTTCAATCGCCTGACGAAGGCAACGTTCTTTTTGCTTAAAAGAAAGAGGTTGTCACTAATCTACAAAACTGGTTACCGTCTATTGGCCGGCAGCTGCGGATCTATTAGCATCAATAGCAAACCGTTCAAAGTGGGAGAATGAGTTCTGAGGTGAGTTTTCCTAAATTCCGTTAGTACCGACGTTTCGATAGACCTAACAACACGGATTCCTCCCAAACCGTTCTCGCGTGACGAACATGTTCGTATTTTCGGATAGCCCAACCCAAGCTAAGGACTAAGGAATCATATAGTGTGAAACTAGGCTCGACCTACACTTTTCGGCGCCTTCTTCCATTGGGGCTCCTCAAGGCTCCGTTTTTGGACGTCAAAGATCTTCCAGATGTTCTTTGAAGTCCATGTCCACTTTTTACGGATGACGTGAAACAAACCGTTCGTGACGAACATGTTCGTATTTTCGGATAGCCCAACCCAAGCTAAGGACTAAGGAATCATATAGTGTGAAACTAGGCTCGACCTACACTTTTCGGCGCCTTCTTCCATTGGGGCTCCTCAAGGCTCCGTTTTTGGACGTCAAAGATCTTCCAGATGTTCTTTGAAGTCCATGTCCACTTTTTACGGATGACGTGAAATCCTGGAGTTCCAACGATAGCGCCCTCCCAATGGATGCTGACGCTGCAAAGCAGTGGTCGCTGGACCGGCACCTTCCCTCGAATCACCTCCATATGCCATTTGGAGGAAACCCAGCAAAGGACTTTTTACACGTTGAGAATGGACCGGAAGACATTGCGAAGATTCATAACAAAAAGTATTTAGGTATCTGGTCCTCTTCAAATCCGTCCTCACTGCACCTTAAAAATGGCCTCAAAAGTCATTTGCCTTTCTACGGATTATCCGGCTCATCTTACCCGTATTAGTTGTATTGGCTTTCAGATAATTTATTGGGCTTGTGTCAAGCCGCTTCTTGTATGTGCCAATCAAGTTGTCTTCTCAGGACACAAGGCAACCCTCATTGAGTATGTCCAACGAGCTGCCGCGAAAATGGTTGCTGGTCTTAAATCCGTTGACTATGAACCGCGTCTCACGGTGCTTGGCCTCCTTCCCCTGGTTTATCGTTGACACCCTGGAGACCTAATACTTACGTCCTATTTGAACAAGGCTTGGCTATCAGGCTTTCCACCACTGACCCAGCGGTAAACCGCGAGAACATGGCGGAAATATTTTCAAGCTGAGAGCGCACACTTTTATGGAACGAAGAGTTCTCAGTTCGGATAGTTACTGTGTGGAATAACCTTCCGACAGTTGCTCACGCTGAACCCAGCAACCAGTTCAAAGCACTTTTAGACGCTTCTTATGTGAGTCTTCGGCGCTATCAAGCTTATATCTCAGTGAAGAGGTGTTAAAGAGCAGTACGACATCCTTTTTCGATTGTACGTTTCAGGTGAACGAAAGCTGGACGACAAAAACAAACCCGACCTGTTAAGCCTTGGCGAATGCCTTTATCCTAGGTAACAATCCCTCAATCCATAACACTATGCGGAATCCTATGGGTGCTTGAGAGTCTTGAACAAGCTGTCCTATGAGTTCACCGCTTTCACTGGTGCAAAAGGGCGAGGGTTAGAGCGAGAGTTTACTGACTGGAAGGTCTCGACTTCCACTGTCTAGGCTTGGGCAACCTGGCAGTATTCCAGCCCTCGTGCTTCCTTCGGGTGGCATGGCAGTTAGGCACCGAAAGGGTGTTACGGCTGAATGATTTTTTGGTTTCGGCGTAAAACAAAACTGCTTTCTCAACATTTTCCCACCTATTCTACTGGCGCGCTGTGTGAAACTCCGCTGGCCTTTGGTACCTCAGGTATCGAAATGCTCCCTCCGACAATAAGTCGGACAATATGGATGAAGACTGATATCACGAACGCTTCGAAGGAAAACAGCAAAACAGTGCCCAAACTTTTCGAAACATCCTTCATTCCCTTCTGGCACGTCGAATTCTGCAACTCCGGATTAATCACGAAAAAATGCTGACCTCGGCAGCCGGTAACTCAACATGCGTCACGCATGGTCCAGCCAGCTTAGTTTGCAGTGCTGGATGCGTTCTTTGTGTGAAGTGCCGTCTTCACCAGAAACCTGTCTCCTAACCATATTCAAAATTCGCTGGTACTAGCCGATTCAAGCTATAGTTCTGAGACATCGTTAGTCAAAGACCTGAAGATGTCCAGTATCCTCCTCGAAGTAGCCAAGTTTTCCAGCCGTGCAGCAATACAACCCGCACCACAGTCTCATATGCGCGTCCTATGAGACCAAGCGATATGGGATTCTGACGACAAGTAGCGCGAATTGGCAAAAGCAACCCCGGCCCTTGAGATTCGTGCGCTGATTTCGTCTGTCACACTACCGTCAAAGCTAATGCAACTTCCGGGATGCATATAACGGACCACAGCTTCAACTATCACTCCTGGAATTCTTAGACGCATGGTTAAACCCTATACCTCCCGCAACATGACTGCACCTTGTCAAGCCGAGCGACTGCATGACCTTTGTCAGCTTTCCCGGTATTGCCTGCGCTTCCTGCTCTTTTTCCAAAACGAGAACAATATTGCCTGTATATTCCAGGCTAACGATGTTCTCGCTCATAAAGTCTTCCATTGTTCATCTCATTATTTCATCAATGAATTAAACAAATCATCATCATCATTATCATCACCGACAACATGACACCAGTGTTCAACATCGATGCTTCACTGCCGCGCAACCATGAATTATTTGAAAGATTTATTTGGAAGAGAAGAATATGGCTGAACGTAGGAGGGACGTAGTGTTGGATTACTACAATCATTCCGAGGTGCCTACACCCCTAAACAAATTCAGGCAATCTAGATAATAACTGACAAGATCTCCACTGACATCGGTTGGCAGCCATATCTTGTAGCGTCTCCAAACAGGCACAGTGAGGATCACGCGGTCCCCATCCTGAAAGGCCGAGTAGCACGACAGCACCTAAACGTTTCGTGATTTTTTCATACCCCTCTACCAGGTCAAGGGCTGGCTACCTTTCTGCTTCCGTCACTTTGAGTTGGGCATGGAAAACAGCACTCTCTTCGACAAACAATAGTTAGGCATACACAGCACATGTCCCAACCAACGCAGCTTCTGGTGCTGGACACACGCTTCAATGGAATTACCCGTTGCACAACCAAAAACTCGATTTATATCTGCCTCGTTTAAAAAAGAGTTCAGCTGTAGCGCCCTTCCGGTGCCTAGCTGCCATGCCACCCGAAAGAAGCACGGGGGTTGGGATACTGCCAGGTTGCCCAAGCCTAGACAGGGTAAGTCGAGTGGCGGAGGTCGGATTCGAATCACGGACCTTACGGTCAGTAAATTCGCGCTCTAACCACTTAGGCCATCTCGCCCCAGTGGAAGCAAAATAATCCTCGCTGGTTGAAAAGGTGCATGCCGAGAGTAGAATCCATGCCACACAATATATGGAGAGTAGTGGCATACTATGATAAACTATCCTGTCAGTTCAGATAGACCGACACCAACCCACACAAGCTATGGCTTTGAGACAACGATTACCTTACCGACTCAGTTCCGCTGCTCAAACAGGCCGAGTCTCAGCCATACAACGAAACAGCTCGCACTGTAGCTTGATACACATGTTCCTTGAGATGCACAGATACACCACCTTGACGCCATAGGCGTCTCAAATTAGCAAACGCGAACTGAGCCTTGCAGATCCGTGTATTGACCTCATCTATCACAATAAAATCAGAACTGATGCAACTTCCAAGATACGTAAAACTCTACAACGTCCAGTCCCTCTCCCTGGATTGTAAGTGGCGTGTTCAGTGACTGCATGTCCACGAGCAGGACCTTACAATTTGTGGGTGCAAAGTACATACAAAAGGACGGGATGAATTTGGTTAGTTCATCCAAAATACTTGCGCCTTTTCCTCCTCTTCGAAGATGAGAACGATGTCGTCAACCTACTCCAGATCGACAAGGTTTTCGTCATAGGCTATTTGAACACCGGGGTTTCGGAGAC